GCTTCGGCTACAAGCACTATGGTACATGCATGGCATGATTGTTTTCTCATTTTCATCTCTGTTTATTGTATCTGTCCCTAACAAAGAAAACATTAAATAAATAAAATAAATAAATAAACGGATGAGTTATAAAAAAATTCATCCCCCTCACAGTTGTCATGAAGGGCAAAATTAGCTATATAGACCAAAACCACTTTTTGTACCAGGCTGTACACGTTTTTTTCTGCTGTAAAGTTGGCCATTTTAACATGGGGAGTCTATGGGATTGACTCCCTTTTGGAGCCAGCCTCTAGCGGCCAGTCGATGAATTGCAGTTTTAGTCCCTTCCTTGTTGGTTTCACAAGAGAGACCGGAAGGTTGCCGCTTGGTTAATTCAGAACAGAATGTTTAAAAAAAAAAAGGTTTAAAAGTAAATTTTTAGGCTGGTCTGCCTCAGCAGTCTAACAGCGCTCATCAATGTCAAACTGATAGAGACGGCCAATCAAATCAAAGTAGGCGGGGTTTACTGTTCACAGAAGCAAGCACCAATGTCAGAGCTCTAAAAATGTACGTTGTTCTAAAACTGTATGATTTTTCTTTTGCGAAACACAAAACATTGAAACTGCTGCTTTTAGTATTGCAAATATGGATGATGATTTTATGATCAAAAACAATAATAACCAACATAATAAACAATAATTAAAATTTATTAAAAAAATATTCTGAGATTTAAAAAAAAAAAAAAAAGCGCATAAAACTTGTACATACAACTAGGAGATGTACTCCAGAACTTTTGAAACCATTTCCATTAGGTTTGTGTGAGAAACAGTCCAACAAGTGAATCATTTAGATTTGTGTCAGATAAAAATAATATTACGTCCAGAGTTCAGAAAATGTTCATGGTTATTACATGATGCATCGTTTCATGTTTGCCAGAAGGGGACTTTATTTATTTGGGGGTCTCATTCGGGCCTTTACCCTCTTTTGATACCCTCCCACCTGCCAAAAGCGTGTGAAACACAGCAGTGCCGTGTAACTCCAACACTAAGCTCCCATAGAGACTCACAATCCTCTGAGATTCTGTGGATTCTACAAAATCTGACACCATTTTGTCAACAGTGAGTTCAGTGATGAAAAGCAACATGAAGTGCTCTTGTGAGTAAAATATTCCTCTAATCTTCTGCATTTCTGCTCTGTCTTCATTAGTAAGTGGAGTGACAGGAGTAACAAGGATGAAAACATGAACTCCAGGATCACAGAGAGACACACAGAGGTGAGTCTCCCGCATCACTTCCTCCTCTGAGAGCTGAGAGAGAGCTGGAAGCTCTATTACACTGATCTGCCGTCCATCCATCTTCTCCTCTCTCTTCTGACACACTTTACTCATCTCTTTACGTCCCGGTTTACTTGTTATCCCTCTAAACATTCTAGACACTGAGTTCTTGAGTGTTGGATTATTTCCACACAGCACAGTGTTCAGCTTTGCTTTTCCAGTAGTCGTCACTGAAAACATTCATTAGAAACCATAGATTTAACTCAGATTTGCTACCAAATGTATACTTCATTAAACAACAATATTATATTATTATATTAGATTACAATACGATGTTTTATCAACTTCATTGCAATAATTTACAGACTTTCCACTCTCTATGTATGAATATCTGACACATACATACAATACAGTCTGCACTCAAACCACTGCCTTTAGAGGAATATTTCACCCAAAACTGACAATTATATTATCATTTACTCACTTCAAAAGTGGAAAGATGATTTTACCATCAAGCTCCAAAATAAATTAAAAAAGAAAAACATCAATGAACCCTAAAAGCATTCAGTCAATGTCTTAATACGCTATTCAAAAATATCTACACTTTTGTTAGAAGTTTTTCAACCAAAACAAAACAGATCAGTAAAAAGAAACATTATTGTCTCTGTCATTTACAGTCTCTACTACTGCACAGTAACTATAAAAGGACAAAACAGTAGTTCATGATCATATTCTTAGAGGTATTACCCAGAAAGAAAAACTTTGACAAACCTCCTCCATCACTTGCTGTTTCTGTGCTCTCTTTGAGATCAGAATCCTTCTTCTTTTTCTCATCTCCTCTGACTGATCCTTCAGATCTGCTCAGATCTTCCGCCACTGATGATCCATCATCCTCATACATGTCACAGATGAGAAATTCTTTGTGTTCTTTCTTGAGTATCTTCTCTATTTTTCTGAAAAACTCAGATCGCCATCCTGGGTTTGTTGTATCAAACTGTAGATGTCCTCCTCCACACTCCTTTATTAAATCATGAACAGCATTATTTGTGCTCTTATAAGCCAGAGACATGAATCTTGATCCGCGTGTCTCTTCATCAGTAGTCAGCACTATAGTGTGTTTCATGGCCTGATAACTGAAGAGGTCCAGCACATATTTCACTCTGTGTCTGTCGTTCTCACTGAAGTCATTATACTGCATTACGAGTACAAACAAATGAGGTCCTGGAGCAGACAGAGACACACAGTCTCTCACTCCCTGTGTGATCTGTTGATGTAAGAGATTTGGCTGGAGCAGGTGAGTGTTGATGACTGTGATGTGTCTCCCCTCAACCTTTCCACTGACTCTCACACTGTACTGCTGTGAGTAAGATGGAGCTTCTCTGTGAAACATTATTGTACCCAGTATACTGTTTGCCACCCGTCTGTTTTCTGATCCATTCTTTCCTAGCAGCACAATCCTCAGATCACTCACTGAAAAAGAGCACAGACACACACACAATGCAATTAAAAGCACTGAACAATCTCATAGTAAAAATCCTATAGAATTAGCAGATTTTACACAGGACACAACAGTAATGTTAAAATATCAAGTAACCCTTTCAGAAGCTTTAGGAACATCTACGAAAGATAGACATTTGTTTAATACTGAAGAGTTATCATTAATCATTTTATTGATTTACTACTGGGATGATCGTTACTTTTATGAATTTTATACACTTTGTTCACTAATAATTAAAGAATGGCAGCTGCATAGAGCCCCGTGATTCACTAACACTGATTCAGTACAGTAACCAGTACAGTAGGCTCTCCGTGGGCCTCTATCATTTCTCTGTACCCAGTTTGAAAATCAGTTTAGGGCTCTCAATATGCTAGTCCTCAGTTAACAGACTGATCTCACAGGAGATCACCAACAGGAGGAGGAATTTTGGCCATTTTTCATTTTTTGCTCTACGCTCTAGGTATTCTGTATCAAAAGAACTGTATAGTGTCTGACTCGAATGAGATCTCAGCTATGATGGACTGGAATACTTTTCAATGAATGACAACTTATGCCAATCTGTTCCTCACACAAAGTTACTGTATGGGTTCAGAAGACTTGGAATTCAGGCCCAGATCTGTTTGGATTAGTTCTATGATACTTTTATGGTGGCCTTCATCATTTTTGGAGAATGAGGGTGAAAATCAGTGTCAACTTTGATTTTATGAAAAAGAGCATCTTTCATTAAAAACAGATAAATACAGTTCTATATACAAATATAGTACAATATGAATAATTTCCATATGTTGCTTCAGAATTATATTCATTGTGAAATGTGCTTTACAGATAAATCTGAATTTAATGTTTTAGTTCAATGCTGTTTTATTTTTATTACTTTATTTTATTTTAATTTAATGTGGGTAGAAAAAGTAACTTAATATGATATAATATTTCCAGATAAAATATTCTTAAACTTCTTCATAATAAATATTCTTAAATTTGCTTTGGCTTTACGGCAGCAATAAAAAAAAATGTTAAAGGTTAAATTATTACATAATTTTAAAAAAAATAATAATTTATGTTTAAACTTATAATATGATGCTAGTGCTGGGCGGTATGACCAAAAATTTATATCACGGTATTTT